CTGTCTGTGACTTGCTTGTGACCCTTGTTACTAGCTGCCCAGGGAAAAGCTTCCTACTCTTAGGGCTAAAGTTCTGGCTGAGAATGGACTGTCAGAGGGTGCCAGCCAGGGACACTGACAAAGTGCTCCTAGTGAGGATAAGAATTGTAGACCTCCTCCATGACTCTGTTCTTTGCCTTGGGTCCAGAACCTGACTTGAATTGGCTTGGGAAACCCAGCATTATTTTTTCTTGCATGATGCTATCATAGGTGCAAATGCCAAACCACAGCTTAGTTGTCTTGCCCTGAATCTTGGCTCCTCTGCAGGTGCAGGACTGGGGGTGAAGACTTCAGGTTGGTCAATCCTTGTTCTATGGCAGAAAGCCTTGAGGACCATCCATATAAGTATGGCAGAGGAGGAAGATGGGATGACCCAGAGTCTCTGATAGCATCTATAAGAAGCCAAACCATGCCAGCAGCAATCTACTTCTGGACTTCTTATATGACCAAACATATTCTCATTTGTTTCAGTTCTTGTTGATTTGGTTCCATTACTTGCAGCCTAAAGCCTTCTGCAAAGTAGGTCACTTGCTGTTTTCCGTCTCTGGACCTCTGTTCTGTCCATTGAAGGAGATGGACTAGATGATCCCTAAAGGTCCACTCTTTTGGTAGCCTGTCCTGATGGATCTCAGCCCATAGAGTTTGGTTCTGAAAGAGAAGTACAACTTTCCCCAAGTTGGGATGGTGTTGTGTGCTGTCAAGAAAACTCTAGCAGATGTGGTTTTGTTTTGTTTCCTGTTATGACTATCCAAAATCCTCTAGGGCCCTAGCATAGAAACTGGGTAGCAAAAACAGTGACTTGGTAAGTGCTAATTATGTGTCAGACATTGTGACAGGTTCTCATGTCGTGTCTCCATGAATCTTCGCTACAATTTCAATAATTAAGGTACTTGCCATTTCTTGCTCATCTGGTCTGATTAATATGATGTCATGAACAGAGTGGACCAATGTGATATTCTATGCAATGTCCACATGGTTCAACTATCTTCAGATTATATTATGACAGAGAATTGGAGAGTTAATATAGCCCTAGGAGGAGACTGTAAAAGTATTGTGTTGTCCATCCCACATGAACATGAGCTGCTTCTGGTCTTCCTTCCTGATAGAGATGGAAAGGAACCCATTCATCACCTCAGTGGTCACATCTCAGGTATCTGAGGCTGTGTTCATCCCCTCTAGTAAAAATGCTATATATATAGTACAGCAGTTATAATTAGGGCTACTGCTTGGTTGTTTTTACATCAGTGTCATCCTTTAGGATCTTTCTTTCCTTTCTTTTTTTTTTTCAGGGACAAGATTTGTAAATTAAATGGAGATATGGGAGCTCTGGTGGTATAATGCCTAAGGCATCTGACTGTTAACCAGAAGGCTGGGGGTTCAAACCCACCAGCCACTCCTCACAAGGAAAGTGATACCTCCTTGGAAACCCAAGGAGTGGTTGCTATGAGTTGGATCTGACTCGACGGCAGTGAGTTTGGTTTTTTGGTTTTAGTGTAAGTTGTCGAGTAAAAGGCTGGAGGTCGCTTTGAGATATTACTTCCTGGCAGTTTGGTCTTTCCTTCAATCCGTGGGTTCCATATATAAAAATGGGCTTAGATCTGGAAACTAGGCAAAGGAATGCAATCTTTTATTTGTTTTGATTGCATAGATAGAACCATTTCCTTGTTTGTTGACCATCTAGCTCGCCCATAGGAATATCCTGTTCTATGGAGCATCTTGGTAGCTCTGATGGTGTAGTGCCTAAAGCATTTGACTGCTAACCAGAAAGTTGGTGGTTCAAACCCACCAGCCACTCCGTGGAAGGAAGACTGGCCAATCTACTTCTGTAGGAGTGAAGCATCTTTCTAACTCTCTTTAGGTTAGGTCTCTAGTGGCCTCCATGACTTTGTTGCTTATTATAATATTTGTGCACATCTTACTTCTGATGGTTAAGTGCCACCTGGCATCTATTATTTTGGGATTCTATTATCTCTGTTGTTGTGCCATCTGCATATTGCATGTTATTAATCTAACCCTGATGCTGCATTCTTCATCTAGTCCAGCTTCTTGGATTATTTGCTCAGCATTTGGATTGAATAAGTATGATAAAAGAAGACACACTGACACACAGTTTTCCTTTGTTTAAACCATGCAATTCTCCCCACCTCCCCTTTTTTTTTGTCCTGAACAACTGCATCTTTATCTATGTACAGTTTCCCCATGAGTACAATTAAGTGTTCTGGCAGTTTAGTCTTTCTTCATAATGTTATCTGTAATTTGTTATGATCCACACAATCAAATGCCTTTGCATAGTCAATAAAAGACAGACAAACATCTTTCTGGTCCAAGATCCATCTGACACCAGTAATGATATCCCTCATTCTTCTTCCTCTGAATCCAGCTTGGATTTCTGGCAGTTCCCTGTCTATGTACTGCTGCAACATTTTCTGAATTATTTTCAGCAAAATGTTATTGTTTAAAGTGAAAAGGACTTAAAACACTTACTGATGAAGATCAAACCCTATAGTCTTTAGTTTGGATTACACCTCAACAAAAGAAAGCAAAAATCCTCACAACTGAACCCAAAACAACATCATGCATGATAAGTGGAGAAAACATTGAAGTTGTCAAGGATTTAATTTTACTTGGATTTACAATCAATGCCCATGGAAGCAGCAGTCAAAAAATCAAATGACATATTGCATTGGGTAAATCTGCTGCAAAAGACCTCTTTAATGTATTAAAGAGCAAAGATTTCACTTTGAAGAAGCGGTGCACCTGACCCAAGCCATGGTATTTTCAATTGACTCTTATGCATGTGAAGACTAAACAACGACTAATGAAGACCGAAGAAGAATTGATGCATTTGAGTTATGGTATTGGCAAAGAATACTGAATATACCATGGACTGCTAGAAGAGCAAGCAAATCTGTCTGGGATGAAGTACAGTCAGAATGCTTCTCAAAAGCAAGGATGGTGAGATGTCACCTCTTGTACTTCGGTCATGTTGTCAGGAGGGATCAGTCCCTGGAGATGGATATCAAGCTTGGTAAAGTAGAGGGTCAGTGAAATAAAAGAAGCCCCTCAATGAGATGGATTGACACCGTGGCTAATGGGCTCAAGCATAACAATGATTGTGAGGATGGTGCAGGACTGGGCAGTGTTTCTTTCTGTTGTACACAGGGTCACTATGTGTTGGAACCAACTCAACAGCTCCAAACAACAACAACAACAACAGTAACAACATTACCCCTATTGAGGAGTCCTGGTGACACAGTGGTCAAGTACTTCGCTGCTAACTGAAAGGTCAAAAGTTTGAACCCACCAGCTGCTCCACAGGATAAAAATGTGGCAGTCTGCTTACGTAAAGATTTATAGCCTTGGAAACCCTGTGGAGCACTTCTACTCTATGCTATAGGGTTGCTATGAGTTGGACTAAACAGCACACAACAACAACATTATCTCTGTTGCTGTCAGGGAGACCTAACAAACTCAGCATTCTTTTTTTGCTGAGTAATGTTATAACTTGGCCCTAGTTATGGGTCTGGCAAAAAAGAGGTAAAGTGAGTGGGGTGGGGTGAGGATGTCAAAGTGGGGAGGGCCATGCATTTTCTTACAATGTAGAGGCCTCTGCATCCTCTTTAAGCTGGGGGGTAGGGAGCACTAGTGTTTACTAGGAGTTGTGGGTCACTTCTGCAGGCTGAGAGTTCTGGAAGATCAGGGGTTTAAGGTTCTTGAGTGTATTCACTCTGATATACTTATCCCAAGTCCTTTCTAATTAAAGTCATTACCATTACATGACACTAGGTTGAGAATTCTCTGGTGCTCTGTTACTTTTATAATCGAAACCTGGACATGGTTCTCAACCTTTCCTGTCTTCTGGCTGCAAGAGACAAGAGCTCTTTATTTGTTGCCAAAAAAGACTTTGCATTTCACAACTATCTTGACTTGAATTGGTGATTTTCATTGTCTTTCCAATACATTGATGACACTCAGCAAGAGCTATCCAATTCTAACATCATTATAATTACAGTTTGATCTAAACCTCCTAAAAGCCTGAGATGCTGCACCCACCAGTGCATTTCCTTCCATACGCAACATGCGAATTCACCTCCAGTGAATAGTTTCCCATTGCACCACTACACCACATCCACCTACCACCCCAGAGATGGAGCACTCATTGTGAGCCAGTCAGCAAATGGGTGATCCAGTGCCAATGCCTCCTGGAGTCAACTTCCTCATACCACCCCACTTCTGGAACCAATTAGCTGAAGTCAGATATCCTGGGAAACAGACTCTGAAGCAGAAATTTGAATATAGAGTGTTTATTGGGGACTGCTTTGGGAACCACACCTGTAAGGGAATAGAGAGTCAAGGATTGAGAAGAGGGAGAAGTTGAAAACTCTGATGCAGTTGCAACAGAGGTCTCAGCTGACCCCACATGCTGAGCTCTCTCATGCTGAGCTCGTTCCTTGGAGTCATCCTAAACTAAGCCTCTGAACTTCTACATGCTCATAGGGAAGGAGAATCATTTTGGGTGAGGCAGTTCTTTTCAGTTAAAGGCAGCTCCTGGAGAGACTTGGCTCCGAGCTGCCAGCAGCCAACACTCCTGTCTAGGAAAATGAGTGCCCTGGTCCTGAAGGAGGTCTAGGCAGGCCACCACAGTGTCCACCACAGCAGTTGTTCTCAAAGTGTGATGGCCCCTGAACCAGCATCATCAGCATCCCCTGGGAGTTTCGCCTGTTATAAAGACTTCATCTTAGACATTCCTGAATCAGAAACCCTGGGTACAAGATCCGGCAGCTTGTGTTTTAACAAACACAAGTTTGTTATCCACAGTTTGAAGTTTGAAATCCACAGTACTGTGGGAACAAATCTAGATAATTTACAAAGAAAAATTCTTCTGCACTAGGTCAGTTGTGATGTAAATTCACAGAGATGAATTGGATTATGGGACTTGTAGGGTATGCATAGTGAGGGGGGCAGTGGTGGTTCAGTGGCAGAATTCTTGCCTTTGGTGCAGGAGACCCAGGTTCAATTCCTGGCCAATGCGCATTATGTACCAACACCTGTCTGTTAGTGGAGTTGCCGTTATGCTGAAAAGATTTCAGCGGAGCTTCCAGACTAAGACAGACTAGGAAGATAGACATGGGGATCTAGTTCTGAAAATCAGCCAGTGAAAACCCTCTGGGTTCCAGTCTGATCCGTATCCATCATTGGATGACACAGGACAGGGCAGCATTTCCTTCAGTTGTGCATGGGGTCACCATCATTTGGGAGTCAACTCAAGGCAGCTAACACCATCACCACCAATTTATAAAGGTTTTCCTTGGTCTGTTTTAAAAAATGGGTTAGTTTGTTTCTCAAAGACCTGATGCATGAGGAGAATCGGACTATTTCATCAACTTGGGCCCAGAGGAGTTTTTCGAAGAACATTCTAAGTAGCTTTCAGGAAGTGCCTGGGGCATTGGCAGGTTGGGTCTCTAGGAGTACCTGCTTAAATCCTAACAGCCCAGTGAAGGGCGTGGGTGTTGGCATCAGAGGAACTTGGGCTCCGATCCTGGTTGTCTCAGCTCCTCTGGCCGTGGGACCTCCATGAAATCACTCTCTCTCTCTCTCGTACTTCCCAGTTCTCATCTGAAGAATCCTGTGAAGAAGCGGGGTTGATGTGGCAATTCAAAGGAAATCCCACATAGTAACTGCTAAAAGATGTGGGCTTTACTTTCACTTCCTATGTGCTGGGTCTGGTTCCTGCTCTGCCATAGCCACATGGTGTGACCTTGGGTGCATCCCTCCCACGTCTGGGTTGTTACCCCATCGACAAAGTGGAAGGGCCTTGATCTAGGCTGATTCTGAGGCCCCCTCCATTCCACTAATTGAGTGGAGCCATGTGGCTCACACTTGTCCCCCAGGATCTGCACTTGGCATGTGGGACCCGAGGCCTCACAAAGGGAAGAGTCTTCCAGAGTGTTTGAAACCCTACCAAGACTTTCCATCCCTTGGTATAAAGTCCTAGCCCTGCTATGGCCTGTGAGGCTCTGTGTGCTCTGGCACCTGGAGGATTCTCAGTGCTCCCTCCTCCTCTCACCCTCTGTGCTCTATCCATGCAGGCCCCTTCCTAGTCTCTGAGCCAGCAACCTCTTTCCCTACCTCATGCCTACGCGTCTGCGGTCCCCTCTCCTGGAATTTCCACCCCAGCTCTCTGCACAGTTGAGTTGAGGCTCCTTCTTGTCTTCTGGGTTTTGCTCAATGACCTCCTGTGAGAAGCCTAGTTTAGGCCCCCCACTAAGTTAGTGCCCACTCCTCTGCCTCAGTTCCTCTCATGTCAGCATGTTTGCTTCCATCAAAACACTCCTCACAATTTGAAGCTCTCTTGCTGAGTTATGAGTTTACTTGGTCATCATCAGCACTGTCCACTAGAATGTGATGCTCTGTGGGGCTGGAACCTCTGATCTGGTCTTAATCATGACAGTGTTTCCAGTCAGCGACCCTCTCACATAGTTAGTGCTCAAACGAGAATTTTGAATGGGTGAGTGAATGGACACATGTTCTTGGGAACTGAGATCCTCTGACTCTCTGTAGTTGTCCATCCCCTTTTGGCATTCATCACGGAGAAATGGGTTTCAACAGGCAGGCCTATTTCCTCATGCTGCCATGTTAACACCTCACCTCCGTGGCTCATTCCATTGGCCTCAGGAACTGACAGGATGTGCTGGATGGGCTGGGCCTGGTGCTGCTTCTGTGGATGCCCACCCTGGCTCCTGGCTCCAGTAACCTCCTCAGACTTCTGAAGTCAGGAAAGAGAGGGAGATGTATTTAAGAGGGCTGGACTTGGCTTGGCCTTCCAACAAGCCAGCAAACAGATGAACACAGAGCATCTGGTTTCAAATTTCAGCAAGGATGTGTCAGCAGCCTGGGTTACGCCAGTCCGGGGTGGGAGGGGACAGGGAGGTATTAGGGGGTTATGTCACTGCTGAGGTGTGGTGGTGTAATGTATGGTGACAACACCATGCAGCCCGGATGTGGTGTCAACAAACACTCGTGGCCAGACCAGGCATGAGCTGGGCTGCTGGCTGGGGAAGGGGCGGGGTGACCCCTCAGGGAAGGGAAGAGAGACTATCATTTCCTGAATATGTCTACCAGGTGCCAGCTGCATGCACATGAGAATTCCATGAGGAATTCTCACAACTATCAGTCAAGCACCAAACTATTGATGTCAATTTTACACGTGAGGAAATGGAGTTTAAGAGTTGAAATAACTTGCCCAAGATCATCTGGCTGAGGTATAGAACGGGAATTCAATGTGGTTCTGTCAGAACCCCAAACTCAGTTTTGTTCCCTTCTTCTTGGAGACTGTAGGTTTAAGCTGTGGCTTAACTATTTCCTCGTGTTGTGAGTTCAGTCAAGTGTCTCAACTTTTCTCACTCTCCATTTCCTCAGCTAGAGGAAATAGAAAATAGAAGTATCATTCCTCCCTCCCCCCCAACTCACCCGGTTGGGATGAGGCCTGGGTGAATGAATGCTTGTTAAAGCACTTAGAGCATGTGTGCTCAGTACTTGTTAGTTGATAAAACCAAAAACACCAAACTCAGTGCCGTTGCCATTGAGTCGGATCCAACTCATAGCGAACCCTCCTTGGGTGTCTGAGGCAGTATCTCTACGGAAGCAGATTGCCCAGCCTTTCTTCCAAGGAGTGGCTGGTGGGTTTGAACCACCAGCCTTCTGGTTAGCAGTCAAATGCTTTAGGCACTATGCCACCAGAGCTCCTGTTAGGTGATGGGATAACAATAAAAATAAACTCACTGCCATCAAGTCAAGTTGATCACAACTCATAGCAACACCTCCTTGGGTTTCCGAGGTGGTATCTCTGCGTAAGTAGATTGCCCAACCTTCCTTCTGAGGAGTGGCTGGTGGGTTTGAACCATCAGCCTTGTGGTTAGCAGTCAAATACCTTAAGCACTACGCCACCAGAGCTCCCACAATAATAATAACAATTATTATTATTGTTGTGGTTGTTAGCTCCTGTCTAGTCGGCCCCAGACTCATGGTGATCTCATACACAATGAAGTGAAATCTGTGCCCTCCTGCATCATTCCCATGGTGGGCCGTAGACTGAACCATTGTAGTCGACAGGGCTTTCACTGGGTGATTTTTACAACTAGTTTGCCAGGACTTTCTTCCTAGTCTGACTTTGTCTAAAAGCTCTGCTAAAACTTGTTCAGTGCCATAGCAACACACACGCCTCCACTGACAGTTGAATGACGGCTGTGCATGAGGGGCACTGGCTGGCAATTGAACCTGGGTCTCCCTCATGGAAGGCAAGGATGCTACCACTGAACCTGCACTGTTTCTTTATTGAGTTGTCAGAGCTACTCTGGATGGGCAGTCGGGATGGGGAGCAAGGCTCGGTTCACTAGCTTTCAGAGGTTTGACACAGTGGGCCTCCTAAATTCAAACAATCATAGACCTATAGAATGTTAGTACCGGTAGCAGCCTGGAGTTCCAGGCCACGCTTCACTTCACAGATGAGAAAACGGAGTCTAAGAGACAGAGAGAATCTTTGTATTTGTAACTCAGCTGTGCTGTTGTTTCAAAATTACCTTCTAGGTTGGACCTTAAAGAATATGGCAGAAGATTAAATTCTAAAGAACTTTTTGGAAGAAAAATGATTACTCTGTTGTAAAACCTATTCCAAAGCTCACTGAGTGCAGATACGAGCAATAGAAAAATTGTCGGTGATTGAAGCAATGTGTTGCTAACCTCTTTTCCTGTAGAAAAGATTTGATCCTAGAGAACAATGCAACCTGAAATTTTACTCAATGACCCAAACCTGAAGGGCATAATCTACTTGTAACTCCATGGAGTATTTACCTGGGTGAATGCACTGAGGTTTAAGGCATGGGGGAAATGACTCTAAATTAGTGATTCAAACTGTTTTGAGTCCATCGGTGCAGGCCAGATGACACACGCTTTCAGGCAGAGGGGAGGACAGTGCGCTGGAAGCCAGAGATCTGAGTTTTAGTCTTAACTCCACAATCTGTCTTCGAAGCCAATGGTTCTGAGTGTGATCCCTGGACCAGCAGCATCAGCATCTCCCTGCAACTTGTTAGAAATGCAACTTACCAGGCTCCTGCAGAAATGCTGAATCAAAACTCTGGGGTTGGGGTTGGCAGTCTGCACTTTAGTAAATCCTCTAGGTGATTCGAATGCATGGAAAGTCTAAGAACAACTGGTCTATACACGAGGTGCCCTAGTGACACAGTGGTTAAAGCACTCAACTGCCAAGCAAAAGGTTGGCAGTTCGAACCCACCAGTCACTCCATGGGAGAAAGATGTGGCAATCTGTTTCTGTAAAGATCATAGCCTGGAAACCCTATAGGGCAGTTCTACTCTGTCCTACAGGGCAATTATGAGTCGCAATCGACTTGATGGCACTGGGTTTTGGGCTCTAAACACAGCCAGGGTGGTCTTTTAAAACAGCTGACAGACTATTGCCCATGCAGCTTTCTTTTTTTTACGTTTTATTGTGGAAAAATAAGTGTGACAAGAAGTTTTCCGTTGTAACCATTTTTAAGTGTACAACTCATTTTGAATTAATTACATTCACAATGTTGTGCTACCATCACACTGTCCATTTCCAAAAGTGTAACATCTCCCTGGGAGCTCTGGTGGCATAGTGCTTAAGGCATTTGACTGCTAACCTGGTGGTTCAAATGCACCAGGCACTCCTCGAAAAGAAGATTGGGCAATCAACATCTCCCCAGATGGAAATTCAGTGTCTCTCCACCAGTGACTCCCATTCCCTCCTCCTCCTCCTATCCCTGGTAACCAGTGCCTAAAGTTGTGCTTTTTTCTCTATACATTTACCTGTAACAGTTACTTCGTATAAGTGGGATCAAATAACGTTTGTTCTCTCTGTCTGACTTATTTTACTCAGCATAGAATTGCAGGGGACCCTTGATTGGGTCTTGGCTCCTCCAGGAAGGGACCCACCTTTGAAGTCTTTGCTTGTCTTGTCTCAGGTCTTAGCACTAAACCTGGAGGCTCAGGAGG